CCCCCCAAAAAAAAAAAAATTCCATCGGGGGAGGGTTGTAGATATTCAATAGTGAATAGCCAACACCAAGGAAGTGAAATCCTTTCCACGCGCCTTAACCGACTCTAGTTCCGCGGCCGCCACAAATTTCCCAGTTCAAATTTTTCTCTCTTCATCATGGACGACATGGCATGGGAGCACATTTACCACGAAGAACTCCAAGGTTTTGTAGATGAGAATGGCGTTTCAAACATTGAAGAATTTTTTAAAAACAAGCTGGAACGTTGGCGAGACGTGGAGGTGAACATAGCAATCTCTGGCAGCTCCGGAGCTGGAAAATCAAGTTTTATCAACACGATACGAGAGTAAGTAAAAATGGCGAAGCATTTTGAGATGGATTTCCTATCAAATTTTAATTTGTGTCACTGTCTGCTGTAGACTCAAACTTTATTCATAGGCGCCGCGGTTCGAATTCATAAACACCATGTGGCTTTCAGTATTTTTAAAATATTAAAAGCTTTTTCTAGTCTGGCATTGAATATCTAGAGATAGCAAAACGTTTTTCATGTGATTGCTCTTCTGTGTCGGATTCTTTGATCAATTTGTTTTTCTACGATTTTTGTACTTTCACTTTTACTGTTTACTACCAATATTGAAGACTGAGCCGGAAGTTGTTGCATCGAAACAACTGTTTGCAGGCTTATCAGGCATTGCAGGGCAATGAGCGCGTGGTTTTAGTTTCGGAAATTTAGAATAAAAATAAGTCATTGAGTCAATCTCAGTGTGTTATAGCCGTTTTACCCATGGGCAAATGGCTGTTGTCCATAGGGAAGCAACGTTTTGTACGGACGGTCTAGTTCTCCGAAGTATAATTGCCTCGAGGAATTTTTCCATGAATTCGTTTATATGTAAAAAAGAACTAGCAAAATAATTTCTCATGATGACAGTCTCCGAGGTAAGTTCTATGTGTAATAAGAACAAAGCCAAGGAGGCTCAACCAATCACGAGAAAGAGAAATGGACCAATACCACATTATTATTGCTAGCGCTCATAACCGGTTGGGGGGGTACGTATCGTGAGATTATAGAAGGAATACGCTCAGGAACAGAAGGGGGGGTATGGAAAATCGATAAACTAATTTGCGTGGAACTGCCATTTTACACCCAACCGCCTTTTTCTAAAACCCTCAGTCTATTTTGTACATAATGACAAAAACAGTTCGGTTTAATTACATCCACGTCTTGCAAGCTAGTATATCACCACAAATACAACCCTACTCCTACCCTGAATTTATGATATCCCCTCGAATCGAATCATGCTAAATTCAGGCTAAGATATTACCCTTGATAAAATTTCACCGTTTTGCGTTATCAATCGAAAAAATCTCTTGATTTCTAACGATTTTTATCGATTTCGATTTTTACCTCTTGGCTACTCCGGGCTGTAACTACACCCTGAACTACACCGACGTTATTGTGAAAGGGAGACGGGTCAAAATATCGTGAAAAACTGTGCGCCTACAAGCCTGGCCAATAGAAATTTACTGCTTGCGTGAATCCAGTTTTCATTATTTGATGAACTGATGTGGTATCTTCTCGAAATAAATCGATGAAAGACACGAGTTTGTCATTGATTTTACCGATTGATCGATAGAATCGATATCAATCAATTCAGATTTACTGATTTTTATTGATTGATGAATTAACTGACCAATTTCTATCGATTGACTACACCGGATATTCTGACTCAATATTCTGTGTAATTTTCCGCATGAGCGGATTTGAAACCTCCCTCCTCCCCCTCCCCAGGAGTTCACTCTGTCAACAAGAACAGTCCTATTCAGGACTACATTCATCCGGACGATCATACTCAACCTACTTTGGCCACAATAGGATTCTATTTGATTAAAAACGCGTATGTATAAATCGAGGTAATGTGAAGGAAAACAACTGAGTTATGAATTTTAGAGAGAAAGGAATAGTCTTGTAAATTGAACCTGCCATTTAGTTACTTAATAATCATATTTTTTCTCAAATTTGTTATTAAAAAACCTGGATTGCACTAACAGTTAGTACATTTGACACAATAACACGAAACTAACCCTTACCCAGAAACGCCTGCTTGCTACTCAGGCTACCACGCGGCCTTCACATAAGAGCAATGCAGTGAGACAGGGTGCATAAGTAGTTCCAGGCACCAGTTTTTTTAACTCTTCTTTGTTTGTTTGTTTTTTTCAGGCTTAGAGACTTCGACGAAAAGGCAGCCAAGGTTGGCGTCACCGAGTGCAGCCAAGAACCAACACCATATGATCACCCAGACAATCCTAAAATCAAGTTCTGGGATTTGCCTGGTATGGGGACTCCAAACTTCCCTGTGGACACGTACTGCGATCAAGTGCAAATAGACAAGTACCACGCCTTTCTCATATTCACCGACACCCGATTCCGCGAGAACGACTTGAAACTGGCAGAGAAAATTAGCTCGATTGACAAGAAGTTTTTCTTCATTCGCACCAAAATTGATGAAAATGTCCGCGCCGAGAAGCGGTCAAAGCCCCCAGGATCATTTAACGAAGAATCCATGCTTAAGGAAATCCGAGCAGACTGTTCGAAAAACCTGGGTCACCTGAAGAGCAACACTGAGGATATATTTTTGATAAGCAACCATCATCCTGCAAAGTGGGAATTCGATCGACTGAGAAAAGCCATTCTGGATGTGCTACCGAGGTATCAGCGAGAGAGTTTAACCTTGTCCCTTGGCGTTCTGAAAAGCCTGTCAACCGAGATGCTAAAGAGGAAAGTAGAGGTTCTTAAAGGGCGTATTTGGATGGTTGCTTCAGCGTCTGCCGCCGCCGCAATGGTTCCCATCCCTGGATTGTCTGTGGCTGTTGACATTGGGCTGATGATAAAAGAAATCACATTTTACAGAACCCAGCTTGGTCTTCCTGAGGAAGGATCTGCTGAATTTGCGAATCTACAAGTCAACACCCAAGAAAAAGTCCGTAGGATATGTCTGACAACTGCAGCTCAAGTCACCGGGTTCGTAGCAGCTTATGCCGCAGAAGCGAGCGTTGAGGAGTTTGCTCGTTTTATCCCATTGCTTGGTTTGGCTATAGCTGGTGGAATGTCATTTGCTACTACATATTATGCTCTTAGGCATTGTTTAAAAAAAGTTGAAGAAGCAGCCTTATCAGTCCTTGATGAAGCTGCCCACAAATCAGCAGACGATTTGGATATCGATTAAGATGTGCGGACCGTAGTCTTGCCATCGGTGAAAGCCACTCAGAGTAACTGCGACAGATATAATATATAGAGGATATTACACGGTGGCGCGAAGATATGTATTTTATTTTCGAGTGGCAAAACAATATTTTACTCACTCGCTGCGCTCGTTCGTAAAATATTGTTTTTGCCACGAGAAAACAAAATTCATATCTTCAAGCCGCCGTGTAATGTTCTTTTTTTATTATACGAGACTAAATATTGAATATTTCCGATTTTTTGCAAATTTTTGCAAATACGGCTGGGCTTTATAGCAAACAGAAAATACAAAAGTACTTGGTGCCAAGTATATAGAAACACTAAACCCAATCAAGCAAAATTCTGTGAGCTAATATTACACGTAAATACTGAAAAAAATTACTGACTTTGACTTGAATCATCAGATACAGTGATTTTCAGTTTCTTTTCACAACGAATCTTTGAAGACTTTTCAGTTCGACCGGACTGATAGACTTGGACATTTACCGTTGCGATTTGGCAATTTTGATAAAAAGCTTTCCGCTTTAGTATTCTCTTCAATAGATACGGCTGACAAGCTTTAGCTGGTACTGGCAGCATTAGACAACACAGCGGAAATCTGCTGCTGTTTCTTGTCGGATAAAGATGAGTAGTTGTTTAAAGAGTTAACGTTTTTTTGTCCAGTGATCTGAATGATTTCGTTTGGCGGTATGTCATTATCAACCAGTTTCTGGACCAAATGCTTTCTTGTGCTGTGATTTACAAGTTCTTTTATCTGTTTCTAGGCCCGAATCTCTTATCATGTTCTTGAGCATGCTTCTCAAGGAGTTGACTCCAAGCGGAGAGCATTTGAACCACATTTGAACAGGTTTCGGGTTTTCGTTATTAACCGCAAGATAGAAAGGAGATTCATCGGTCATCATGCTTGTGGGCCGGTGCTCTTTGTAAGCCAAGTAGGTGTTGACGGGGCAGCGATCTGCGTTACTCTTGTTTTCGTACATTTTAGGTTTCTTCTCTCTAATATTTCGAGGGTTTTCGCCGGTACGCGTTTTCGTTTCTTTCAATGTTAAACTCGATGAAGCAGTTTCCCTCCGAATCTGTTTTTAATTGCAAGTCGCCCCAGCAAAGGTCTCTCTGCTCTTTTCCTGGCCTCATACCGAAGAATGTACAGTTGTTCATCCAGAGGGTATGTAATAGAGCTCTAGGAGAGTGAATTCCTAGGACTTTGCGGCTGTAAAAAGTGTCAATGTCTTCATCTGACAGCGGGTCTGCTGCATTAGGCCGGTTTCCTTTCCCGATGGATTTCAGCTGCTTTTGTTTCTTCTTTAAAATATCTTGCACTTCGTGAAATTCCTTGTCGTTAAGCACGGAGAAT